AGCTGTGTGACATTGGACAAGTTACTTGACCTCTCTGGGCCTTGTTCCTTCTTAACTATAAAATAAGACTAGTACTTATGTCATTAGATTAAAAAGGTTAGTATTTGTAAAAGACTTAGAACAATGCCTAGCACGTAACAACTGCTTTATCTTTGTTGAATAAATAAATTATATTCCAAACTTTAAAGAACTTTCATTATATGCATACAATAAATACTTCTGTTTGTCTTTTCAACATGACACTCATCTTTTTATTTATAATATTTTCAGCTACCTTTTTCATTTGAAAACAAACTATTTCCCTAAATCCGAGTTAAACTTAAAAATGGTAGCACCTTAAGACCTGCCCCACAGCAACATAAACTGTTAAACTGCACCCTTGTGTTATCTTCCCACCTAAAAAGCACCCCTTTACATTCATTGGTACGAAATCCAGAATGCCCTCATCCATACCCATGGATGATGCTAACAGCTACCCCTGTCCATAAAAAGACCCTCCAAGTAGAACATGTGAGAACATGGCCTTTTTTCTCCCTCCTCTGTGACCGATGACCAATGATTTCATTGCTGGCCTTTGTCCTGACTTTATCAACACGACTCACACTGAAAAGTAGAAATATGGACATGGTTTTTATGAATTTCCATATTAGAAAAATCGGCTCAATTAACAAAAAGTGCCATTTTAATCACAGGTTTTTTTTTCTTCTTAGAAGTGATCAAGAAGAAATGTGGAAAACACTTCTTTTTCTTTTTATGTAGAAACTACTAACAGTTCAATAAATTGACTTTTGCTGAACACGAGCATATTAAAGTGATTTTTTAAAAATTAAAAGTGAAGGTTTCCTTTGCATCAAAATATAAGGATTTTTTAGCTGACTCAAAGAAGATGAATAAACCTGTGATAATAATGATTCAATTATCGAGCAAGAAAAATATGTTACACAAAGACCAGAAAACAGAGAGGGAAAGAAAGGTCTGTAATGGTTTGGCTGCTAAAGGACATTTTTACACACATGCCAGCACTAAGTGCTCTTCGCAATGAATAAACCATATGTCCATTTTTATATGCTTCCTTTCACTAAGATCCTGTGACTTCACAATATTCCCTTTGTCCCACTCCCTGCCTTGTCTTCCCCCTCCTTTGGTTCCCCCATCCCCAACTTCACCTCCTTGGGCAAACAGTATTTGTGCCCTAGCTACCTACTTGAACATCTGCTACCTTAAAAAAAAAAAAAAAAAAAAAAAAAAAAATCACCTCATTGCCTAACATCCTCCAGGGCAAAAAGTTTGAAGGATTCAGCATCCTCAAAAGAACAGCCACAGAAGGAAAAAAAAAAAAAAAAAAAAAAAAAAAAAAAGGCATATATTTTCCAGCTCAGTAAATTCTATCTATATAAAGATTAAATGAATAACATTTTAAAAATTCTTCGGTGCAAGCAAATCCATGTTACCAAGAATGTATTGTCTTTCTTATGCATAGAGGGAGACCCACACATTTTATTTTATTTCACTTTTGCAACTGTGTCTCCTTTTCAACATATTACCATATAGAAGAGATACAGCATATATATGACTCTGGAGAAAAGAATGCCAATATTTTCCCTCTTTTTACCCAACGGTTTTCTCTTCTTCGACTTTTTTTTTTTTTTTCCCCTGTCCCCAAACACTTCCCCAACTGAAAGATAAATAAGTATTTCCACTGAATTAAAGTGAGCCCGGTGTTAAAATAGCTTGCCCAGATCCAACCAGAGCCCATTTTTTTAAACTCCATTTCAGCATTTGGTGGGCAGCTCTGCCCCTCCACTCGCTTATATCAGCCACTCCCCCTACCAGAATTCCCATCGCCATATACCTTTGCCCGCAAGCTTTTACTAGTCCATTGCCTTTATATGTTTGCACTTAATTTGATTCCATCCTTCATGCTTTTTTCATTATTCTTAGTTCATCCACACCACATAAATTATCACCTTTGGTTTCAGTTCCCCATGTGCCCCATTCACACCAATTCCAAATAAATACTTCTGATCCTCATCCATTTAATCCAAATTAATTCATATTCCCTCTCCCCATCCTCCATCCTTACCTCTAGCTCCCCTCCTGTTTCTTCTTCTTATAGCACCTACTTTTCCTTCCATGCTGATCTCTGAGCAAGGTTTTACAGGCAAAATGCTTCTGGAGGATGCAAGATGATTGCTTTCTGTATTGTTTTGGGAAAGCTAAGGTCTACAGCGCTGCCACCTTCAATGAGCCAATGCCTGCACGTCCACTTGCACTCTACAGCTGGTGTCCCTGAGCACCATACCCTCCACACAGAGAGAGGAAAAAGCTCGTCGCTTTTTGATGGTATTTAACTTTGGCTAACTGCCTTATTTCTCATTTATGTAGAGCTGTTTTTTCACACAATCATCACTAATCAATATCAACAGCTATCGTAATAACTACAACCAACTCCACTACTATCTTCAATGAGCTCTTAAGATGTGCCAAGTATTTTACATATATTGATTCATTTAGTCTTCAAAACAATCTAGGTTATAGATAAAATTATCCCTATATTTTACAAATGACTAAGCTGAGACTCAGGGAAGATAAATCACTTAACCAGGTCACAAAAAGAGCCAGAACTCAGACCCAAATCCACCTACAACAAAGCCCCCACTCTTAACCACTCTGCAACTCTGCCTTTCAGTAAGGCAGGGTGCCTCCTTGAGTATATTCCCCATGGGGAGGAGTCTTTCCGCATCAGTCCACCATAGGGCAAGTGGTTGCAGGTGCTGGGGAACATAATGAGCTCCACCTTGATAATCACTCTGAGTAGACAATGCCCAAAAAACAAAGCACCAAATAAGGCATCCCTCCTAAAGAGGTCTCCTTCTGACACATCTGTTGGGAGAAGGGGATAGGAAAAAAGAAAAATGCTCCGGACTCCCCCTTGAAAAATAGAATCTTGCTTCCCCAGAGCTGTCCAGCCTTCCTACAAGACAGGATGTAGCCTGTCTTCAGGTCAGTAATTCAGAAACGTGTCATAATCATGACTTCCATGTCCCCAACAAAGCTCAACATTCTTGCCTCATTCCGCTTTCTCTGGTTTCCTGGGGAGACCGGGAAGTGAGTCACCATCAAAGCCTGGGAGCACTGCAATGTCTTGTCATGACTTTCCTCACTGACTTGAGAAAGAAATATAAATTAAAAAAAAGTCCTTCAGGACAATGTCAGAAAGGAAAAAAAGCTGACCTGAGCAGGAAGCGTCAGCCTTGGTGTCTGTGGAGTGGAGCACTCAGACTCTTGGGAAACCCTAACTGGGACTCTCCACTTGAGCCACAGGGTTCAAAAGTCATGTTAGGAGACCTTCCCATGAACCAAGCAAGGCCTAAACAGGAAGTTAAGTGCAGAACTGGAGCACCTGCCCAAGTCCTGTGTAGCAGGGAAGCAGTGTGTTCTCGTCCTCCCATGCACGGGACTGATTCTGAGGTTCGAAATAGTGATTTCTTCCAGACACATATTACACATCTGACTTTAGGAAAGTGCTTCTGTACTGCACAGAGATATTTCATGCTCCCACAACCCAGAGCATTAGAGCTGAGAGGGACCTTAAGCTAGTCCATTTGATGGATCTAGAAAATGAGGCCCAGTGAGATAAAGGGACACCCTCAAGGTCACAGAGCTAGTTAGCGGCAGAGTTAGAATTAGAACCCAGGTTCTTCTGCTTTTCCAGGCAATGAGCTTCGCACTGCACATTTCCTTGGTTGGCACAGACCGCAACTCACCACAGAGCACCAGGAAGACCAGCCTCGAGACCACAACTCCCACCAGCCACTTCTCCCGGCTCAAACCCAATCACCCGTTTCTTCCCAACTGCACTCTTACTCTGCTGCTCCTACTTTCGGAGCTCTTCCCTAATTCGGCTGTCCTGTGCAAGCAGGATGCAAAACCATACAGGCGACACAGCCGGGACCCATTTAAAACTCACCAATGACAGTAATTGCTCCTAGGATGCTAACACCAAGAAGAAACACCAGCCCTAAGCTTGTATCTCAGAGCACAGAACAAAGACCAGTTTCAAGGAAAATGTCAACCTCACTCTTTTCTCTATAAACCCCATTCTTTTTTTTTTTTTTTTTTAAAGATTTTATTTATTTGTCAGAGAGAGAGATGGAGAGAGAGCAAGCACAGGCAGACAGAATGGCAGGCAGAGGCAGAGGGAGAAGCAGGCTCCCCGCCGAGCAAGGAGCCCGATGCGGGACTCGATCCCAGGACGCCGGGATCACGACCCGAGCCGAAGGCAGCTGCCCAACCAACCGAGCCACCCAGGCGTCCCTATAAACCCCATTCTTCCAGATTACCCCATTGCTCCAATGATCAATACGATCCCAGGGAATCACCGCAGAAGTCCTGAGGAAAATGTACAGTCCCCGTCGGTCCCCACTCTCCCTTACCACACACATAGCAGTGTAATCACTTTAGCAACTTCTCAGTAACAAGCTCATTAAAAAGCAATTCTGCCATCTCTCCATAAAGCACGCGCCAGAGAACAATGCAAAAGAGGAGATGCCAATTAATTATAGAATGATCACATCTAATGAACTCTGAAACCCTCCTGCTGTTGGTGACTTTGATGAAAAATCAGGGATGCTGGGAAAACAGTGAATAGGGACGCCCCGACTACCTTGTTTAACTGTGAGTTCTTTCAAATGTGCCTCCTCAGATTCCAGGGCTGCTCAAAACTGCAGAGCTACACTCATAAAACAATGGAAAGTGTCAGGGAGGTGACAAGTGTGTGTACGGTGTATGGCTGTGAGTCGCACCGCCAGAGCCCCATTCAGGCCTCTTTGCAACTGCGTGCTCTGACCCCGTGGCTGGTCTTGCCTCTGAAAGGATCACACAGCCAGCGAGCGACAAGCCCATGGCCTGTGCCAGGACATCTGCAGAGCTCAAGGTCACATGCGTCACTCTGCTGCCCCGCCCCAGCCCTCCCGCTTGGCTGCCACCTTCAAGTCAGCACAGTGCCACTCCTCAGGACACGGGACACGGGAGCCCGTCCCACCGAGAGGCTAAGGGAGGAAGGAGAAGAAGAAGAAACCACGTGCGGCCAACTTGTACCACTACCTGTGTGAGTCCTCTGGTGGGCCTTTAGGTGGGAGCTTTTTGTATAAACTTTCCGGCACCCGTTAAACTGACAGCGGTGAACCCTCTTCTTGTTTTCAGGGCATGCCTCGGCCCCCACCCCTCCTTGCTCACTGTCGCTCTGTCCGCTTTTAACTGTCCCAGCTGCCGCCACAGCCGCCGCTGCTGTTGCCACCCCTCCCACCTTGACCGAGCCGAGTGCAGCCTTCTTGGCCACCAGTTTCAACGTCACCGTGCCATCCACGGCTGAGAGAGTCTGTGAGGTTTTGACCAGATGGCGGCTGAGCTCAGGGGACGATGGGGGCGTTAATGAGGTCACTGCGTTGAGCTGGGCCTGGTTGACGGCTGTGTAGCTGTCGAGAGAAGAGCTGGTTGGCTGGAGGCTGAGGCAGGTCTCAGATAGCAACTTGTCCCGAGAGAGTAGAATGTCCACTGCCGAGCTCTTCTCACAGATGGTGGCTTCCACAGGGAGGAGCAGCGGGTCCAAGCGCCGGAAGCTTTCCTCTATGCACGGGGGTGGAGAAGCATGGAGGAAACAGTCCAAATCCTCACCGAAGGTCTCCGAGATCCTCCTAGGCTCCGTCTGTAGGTAGCGTTCCAATTCAAGGCATGTCTGCAGAGGGGAAAGAGGGAGGGAAAGAAACAGCCATCAGAGGCAAAGAACACCACCAGGCCACATGTTGACAGGCAGAGCAGTAAGAGACAAAAGGAATGGTTTTGTGGCTGGAATCTGAAATTCTCTTGTTAAAGGTCTGACCTTGTTATTTAGTCCCTGAATTCTTCTGAAGGGTTCATAAGGGTCACATCATTCAAGTTTAATGAAGGGGAACTAGAGGCCCAGAAGGTCTGTCTCACACCATCAAGATCCCAGAGGACATTCAATGATAAAATGGCCTCTTGCTCCACAACCCAAGTCAGCAGGTGAGATGCTCCAAGCATTGCTAGGAGTTCCACGTAACCAAGAAGCAAATAGAATCAAGGAGTCTTCTAACCAAAACAAGACTTCCCATAGTCCAACTTAATTTTCAAATAGACTTGAGCAAGTCGCAAAAATCAATTTTCTGACTTGCTCAAAAAGATAAATCATACCCACCCCAGCTACAAGGTGACCTCAGTCACAATCAGCCAAGAGCAAGCCCTGCCTTGGATTCCCTAACCAGCGGGAATGGATACTGTTCTAAAGAATGCCTCTCACAGCACCTCTGATATGCAAGACAAAACTCCCATTGTTTACAGCAAGTTATTCAAAATACAATTGCTACCTGCTTTGTGGCAAGGAGCAGAAGTAAGTCCAGTTACAATGGTTTAGCATCTGTATGTGATAAAAATAAGTTCAAACACAGCTACTTGACTTGCTAAAGATAGGACCCAATATATTTCAACATAAAGCTTTCACCTGGTAAAGAAATCGAGAAAAAGAACTGAAAAGTTCAGAGCTGGAACACATCTTCATCCATGGTAGTCTTTGTAACATGGTGGAAGCGCTCTTAAGGCAAAAGTGGGTATTTAAGTTTATACTTGAAAAGCTCTCCACAGTTAAGAATCCTGCCTTTCCAGAACTTTGTATAAAACCATGGTGCTAACCTGCACCAACAGCTCAATTTGCTCTGGCTTCTGGACTTCAACAAAGAAACACTGATGGCAAATTTAGAATGAGACTAGCTCCTTCTTTACTGCCTCCCTAGTAGAGCATCTTTGATTTCAACCAATGTTTGGATCTTAGGCTTTTATTCTGTTAAGAATATATTTTAATGATATACCTAGTTGTGTTGTATCTGTTAAAGATTTTAGTTTGGTGACATTTCAAAAGGTTGTTTTTGTCTTCTCTTTCTTATCCCATTTATTTATTCTCCCATAAATTTCTCCATTAGGAGATGCACTAGCAATGGGGCTTACAATTTCCCAGATATAGAATCATAGAACCATGGAGTTTCAGAGCTGTTTGTCTAGATTTTATGTAGATTGTGCTTCTCTAACACGTTCACATGCCAGCATTTTACCTGTTTTTCTCAGACTGCATGTGATAGCCATTCCATGCTCATTACTTTGATAAGATTCTAGCTGCCTACCTAAGGTTAGCATTTAACCTCTAGGCCAGAATCCATTGATGGTCACTGCCTTTGGTATCCTCTGCCAGCTTGCCCTTCATGGCTACCAAACCCCACCTGTATCCTTATGACATCAAGGGCCCACCTCTTCCCACCCTGCGTGTCTCACTCCACTCTTGTTCTCTGAATAACTCAAACTCTACATGCAAAGTTCTTTCCTATTTGCCAAAGTATCCAACACCACCTTATATACTTTGACCTTCAAAATCTTTAAATTATTGCTTATATTCTTCCACTGGTTATATATTTGTCTTATGTCTTCTGTTTATTTTTTGTTATTGTTATTTTTTATTGAGGTATAATTGACCTATAAAATTATATTCATTTCAGGTGTACAACATAACGATTCCATATTTGTATACACTTCGAAAGGATCACCACAGTAAGTCTAGTTACCAGAAGACTGGTTTTTAATCAGCCTTATGGTAAAACTCTGCATTAAGAATAAGAAAACCAGATTTTTAACTATGAATCAACTTTGGGTTTCACCTTTGACTTTTAATAGCATAAACCAATGAATGATTCTAATCTTCATTCAACACTCATGGCATATGTTTTTGTTCAACTACTGTGTCCACAGCAAAGTGAAAGGTTTTCTGTGTGTTGGAAGGAGAATATATTAATAGATCCATGTGATGTAGGTGCAGGATAAATAATTACAAGCTAAAAATGACATGAATTTACAAAGCAAAGTGATACCAAATAAAATACTATAAAGTGTGTTGATAAGTTCTTAGGGGATGAGTGGGCAAGGAGGTCTACACTCTATAATATGAAGGCATTCATCAAGGAAAGCTTATTGGAAAAGTCAGTTTTGATTCTATTTTATGTATTGATTAAATAATAGCTCTGACTGAGTAGCTTCCCACCACTTTATATATGAAACCAATACTACTGAATTCTCAGGTTTAGAAATTTACATTATCCTCAATTGCCCCTTTCTGAATTCCATGTCTCAAAAATTTTCCCTTTCCTTTTTCCATCTCATTGCTAGAAATTGTCATTTACTTCTCTCCAATACTGAAACCCTCGGGTTTAGCTCCAGTCAATTCACTTCTGAATTATGAGATCTTACTCCTAAAACCTCCATTAAAGCTTCCTTTCCTTTTTAAAACCCTCACCTACCAAGCACAGTGTCTGGCACCCAACAGATACATATATCTATCAGACAAAGATAAAATCAACTTTATATTATTACTTTGATTATTTTAACTCCTCCATTCCATGAAAGTCATCTCCTGACTCCCTAATCTGGATGATGCTTAGGCTAGCAATCTTAGAAATGACCACTAATAAATGTCTTCTGGAACACAACTGTAATCCTTCTTTAGCTTTGTCCAACCAGATTTTTGAGACATGGATAAGTTTCAGGTAAAAATCAGCTGAATCATGGGTTATAAGTTGTCCTTGAGGCAGTTCCCTGCCTCACACGCAAAGACTATTTCACAACCTAGTCACCACTGTCTTTCGATAGTTTTTGTATGTCATGTCTTCTTACATACTTTCTAGCTCAAAGATTTGAAAGCCACTGAGAAATTGTTGTGATCGTTAAGAAGCTCAGATCTCTTCATATTCAGAGTTCTGGGAAACAGATTCTAAACACATTTACATACTTTTCTGGTAAGGTTAAAAAATAATCTACCCAGTATGTCCTAGTTTAAATCCCAGGAGCACACAGGTCACAATAATGATCTAAAGATAGAGACACATCTACTAAAATGTGGAAAATGCTGGACCACTTAAGAGGAGCTATCACTTGCAACCCTAATACAGGGCATTCTTATTCTATCTGAGAATGAGAGAGGTACGAGTACCCATCAGGATGGACTGGATAGCCCTATGAAATCATTTTGAAATGGTTTTTGTCTTGAGAAATCCACTTCTTATAATATTCTACTTAGATGAGAAGATTTTGTGAACCAGAAACTCATCAGAAGTGCTGGAAATTAAAATGTCAAGAATGAAGAGAATTTTCATGTTAGATTATTTCTAAGCCAAAGAGAAAGTTTACCCCCAATGTTTTTCTTTAATGAATACAAAGGACTTCCGTAAGAAATGTCTATAATGTTTAATTAAAATCTGAGGTATTTACTCATAGATATTAATACATACATGCAGAGAGGTATATATAGAAATAAATGTGTCTATGTATCTATGAGTATACATACATATACTTCCTAGCTCTGTCTTTACGAAAAGTCTACAGGAAAGACACCCCAATAGCACCAGTAAGCACACCTAGTATACAGATCTTGGTTGCTAAATGTCATTATACAAAGGATAATGGTAATAAAAGGACAAAGGGAAACCAGGGCACCTTGGAGAAATAGTTGATTCGAAGTCTGGGTCAAAGAAAATATAAGATGAGTCTAGAATACCTTCTGGTACTAGAAGGTAAGAAGTGTTCATAAAGAGACAGAGCTATGTCATAAAAAACCTCAGAAGCCAATTTGAAGGAGCTCTTAATAACCAAATCTGGACAATATGAGCAACAGAAATGAATAGTGATGATGGGATTTTAATACATGGAATAAAATTAATATCTATAAATCCACAGTGATATAAATAAATAGTTGAATCAATAAACAATTGGAGATGGTTAGCTTCTCCTTACAGTGAAATTATAATTAATAAACATAGAAAGGATGATGGAAATAGAAAATCACCATTAGGCAAACAAAAAATAACAATGACTACAGGCAAGAAACACCAATGGATGCTAAAATTAATACAGGAGAGTATAATGAAAAACAAGATATTTGCCTAGTCTCAAATCATCCCCCTTAGCAAAATATTAGTTAACTACAAAGACAAAAATAATAATTTTACAGTGAAGAAGCCTAGAGTACCACTTTAAATATCTGATCAAAGTTAGTAGCACCCATGATAAGGCATACTGATATCATGTAACCTGCTATGAAGGCTGAAAAGGGTACAAAATTATTCTACACCATTCCTGTCCAAAATACATTACCTCAATGTAATCATGAGAAAACATTAGAACAATCCAAATGGAGGACCATTGTACAAAATAACTGGCTAGTATTCTTTAAAAATATCAAGATCATGGGGGCAACAGGGTGGCACAGTCAGTTAAACATCTGACTCTTGGTTTCAGTTCAGGTCATAATCTCAGGATCATGAGATCAAGCCCTGCACTGGGCTCCGTGCTCAGTGTGGAGTCTGCCTGAGATTCTCTCTCCTTCTCCCTCTGTCCCTCCTACTTGTGTACTCTCTCTCTCTCTCTCTCTCTCTAAAAATAAATAAATCTTTGAAAACAAATACCAAGATCATGTAGAACAAAGGAGACTGTACAGAAGACATTAAGAAGCTGTCCCAGATCAGAGGAGACTAAGGAGATATGATAACTAAATGCAATTGATTTTGAAGAGAAAAAAGACATTGATGGGAAAAATAATTTAATACAAATAAAGTGTGCAGATTAATTAATAGTGTTGTGTCAATATTAATTTCCTGGTTCTGATCATTGTATTATGGTCACATAACATTAAGGGAAACTGGGCAAAGTGTATACAGGAACTCTATGTACAATTTTTGCAACTTTTTTGTAAGTCCAAATAATTTTGAGAGAGAGAGAAGAAAAAGAAGAAGAAACAACCATTAGCAAAATAGGAGTGTCTCCAGATTGTAGATTTGCATTTAAAGTTCAACTATTTGTTTATGTACCAGAACCAGAGATTTACTCTGTCCCAATGATACTCTAACCAGCAAACTCCAACTCAGGAGTCCATGGATGTCAATTTAATTACATAAATTACGCCTTGCCAATACTTCACCTTGGAGATACAAGGTTTCCCTTGACCTGACCTAACAATACAACTTAAGACTTGAGGGATCAGCCACTGGAGCAACCTCCATCCCCTCAAACATCCACTACAGTCAGCAACAGGAAGGAAATGTGCCCAACTGCAAAGTGATTTTCTTAATATTTTTAAGGTACATATGAGCTTTGTGAAGACTCTCCAACATCTCAACTTTGAGTGTGGCTTATTCTCCTAGTTACCTAAGAAGTTTTCACTTGAAATTGGTTTTGAAATGATCATCCTACAATCTTTTTTAATACTCTCTCCATTTTGTTCATATTACTTCTTGGAACATGTTTATTAAAAGTGACAATATGGGATGCCTGGGTGGCTCAGTTGGTTAAGCGTCTGCTTTTGGCTCAGGTCATGATCCCAGAGTCGGGGGATCGAGTCCCACATTGGCTTCCGTGCTCAGCAGAGAGCCCGCTTCTCCCTCCACTTGGACTCTCCCTGCTTGTGCTCGCTCTCTCCCTCTTTAACAAATTTATTTATTTTATTTATTTATAAAATCTTTTTTAAAAAATATTTAAAAACTCAAAAAAAAGTGATAATCTAAGACCTAGTTAGAAAATAAAAAAAACTCAAACCTATTACTGCCATGCCTACTACTTCTGTGACAGGCTCCAGAGGCAGAAATTGACAGAGAACAGGATAACCCAAGTCTCGTAGCACAAATTAAGATCACCAAAATCTCCCCCATTGTTGGCAAGAGGTAGTTACTTTCATGGGATCAAAAAATAACAAGAAATTTGGCCATATATGGGCATGATGATGCCAAGGTTACCAAATGGTTTTCATTAAACCTGTTCTTCTCTCTTCATAAATTAGATTAAATTTGCCATTCAGGACTGCAAACATCTCCAGTCACTTTTGCCATTTCCCCCACAACTCTCTCCTAAAGGTTTCCTTTACCCATTCTTCCACTCTTTACTTTCCCTCATGTTCATATGCTTCACACAATCTTTCAACTTCCCTCCCACTAATCATTGTTTCATTCAGAGTTCAACATAAAGTCTATTTGCTTTAGGAAGTCTAGGGAAAAAATGGAGTTAAGAAAATATGCTGACTGCCAAGTGTTGAAAGACACACCACCTCAATCCTGGACACAACTAAACAATGTCTCCAAAATGAATCTATGAGTCCATAGATTGGTGGTATGCCTGGTTTATTAAGATTATAATCTCCTTGTGGTTTTAGTAGCATTTTCCTAATAACTAGTGATGTTGAATATCTTCTCATGTACCTGTTCACCTATTCAAGTCCTTTGCTCATTTTTTAACTGGGTCATTTGTTTCCTTGCTATTGAGTTATGAGTTCTTTATGCATCTGGGGAATTAACTCCTTATCAGATACATGGTTTGCAATTACTTCCCCCCACCACCAGTTTTCTTTTCACTTTGTTGATGATTCTTTTGCTTTTTAGTTTGACGTAGTCCCACTTGTTTATTTTTTATTTCGTTGCTTCTGCTGTAGGTGTCATATCCAAAAAAATCATTACCAAGACCCCGGTCAAGGAGTTTTATTCCTATGTTTCCTTCTAGAATGGTCATCACCAAAAGACAGGAGATATCAAATGCTGGCATGGATGCAGAGAAAAGGGAACCCTTGTGCACTGTTGGTGCATTGTAAATTGGTGCAGCCACTATAAAAAACAGTACGGAGGAGCCTCAAAAAATTAAAAATAGAACTACCATATGATCCAGCAATTCCATTTCTGGGAATATATCCAAAGGAAACAAAAACACTAAGTCAAAAAGATATCTGCACCCCCATGTTCATAGCAGCATTCTTTATAATAGCTGAGACATGGAAACAACCTAAGTGTCCACTATTAGATGAATGGATAAAGTTGTAGAATATATATACAATGGATTATTATTTAGCCATTAATAAAAGACAAGGAAACCCTACTATTTGTGACAACATGGGTGGACCTTGAAAGAATTATGCTTAGTGAAATAAGTCAGACAGAGGAAGAAATATGTTGTATGATCTCACTTATATGTGGAATATAAAAACAAACAAAAACAAAAACAAACTCATAGAAAAAGTGATCAAACTTGTTACCAGAGGTGGAGGAGGCGTGGGAGAAGAGGATATTGGAAAAGGTGGTCAAAAGGTTTTAAGATACATAAGAACTAGAAATAAAATGTACAACATGATGACTACAGCTAATACTGCTGTGTGATAATAAGAAAAGTTAAGAGAGTACATCTTAAAGATTCTCATCATAAGGACAATTTTTCCTTGATTTTTTTTTCCTTTCTCTTTGTTTTATCTATATGAGAAGATGGATGTTGGGTGAACCTATTGTGGTAATCATTTCACAATATATGTAAGTCAAACCATCATGGTGTATGCCCTAAACTTACACAGTGATATATACCACTTATTTCTCAATAAGAAGAAAAAAAATTTAACAAATTTTTAAAAATTACAATTTTCTTAAAAACAATGATCATATTCCTTACACAACTGGGTACTCAAACAATAAAAATAATCTTTTAGAACAAAACTTCTACCTCTGCTATCTCAGATGGCAAAGACACTTCAGTGTTTAAAGTGGTGTAAAGTTGTAAGAGTTAGAACTTTCCAAAAGAATGAGCAACAACCCCCATCCATAACCACCTCACAAAATTCACAAGATTATTTTACTAGAATTTAGGGGGAGTAGATAATGTAGTCAAGTTTTCACAAAGAAAATCTTCAGGTTGAACTCCAGCCAAATAAAAGAAAATTCAAGTTCTGGTTTTGTTCCCAACTGGCCTGGGCATTGAAGCAATGCCCCCTTCTCTTGGCATGTACCTGTCGAACGGTCAGTTTTGTGTCCACCTTTTCATGCCCCTTGACCCTCTGCATCATGACTCAGTGATCCCAGGCATGAATTCTGAAAACCTTCTTCCATTTCTATGGTTTTCCTCACCCAGCTGAGGAGGCTGCTGACTACCCACGAAACTTCACCAACCATAGGCTCTGGTCCACACATGCACAACCCACCACCATATCTACATCCATGTCCACATGGGTACACTCTAGTCCAATCTCCTCAATGTCATCCCTTTACAAACCAAGTGTTTAGAACATAAAAAGTTCTTGTTTTCATTTCTGTCTTTTAATCTGAACGTAAGATAAAGTCATTTGTCCAATATTTTTGCCATCACTCATTACTGTGTCATGATGATTAATTACTTGGCATCTTTGGATCCATGAATACTCAAGTTGATGAATCAATAAAGAAAAAAGAAATTGCATTTTGTGAATGATTTTTTTTCTGGAATAATATAGAGTCAATGAAATAAAAAGCCACCTACTACTTCCTATGTTTATACTCAATTAGTCACCTGTGGTCCCTTTGGCCAGCTACTTTTAATTCCTATCATTCTACCTATATTATTTACCTAAAATATCCAAGACTTAAAATGGCAAAGATAAAAAGCAAATTGGGGAAAGAATATAAATACAAAAATAAGAGGAAATATAGTTTAACACAATAGAAACTTGCAAAGTCATGTCCTTTTGAGATCAGACCTGGACCTAATAATGATGATGATCATGACAAAGATGACAGCAATGATGGTGATGATGGTGCTTCTAGCAAGGAAGGGGTGAACTCTAGTTCCCAGAAAGAATGCTCACCCAGGTAATTGCACAAGCAGGTGACTGCACTTGGCTGCCCATGGGAGCCCCTTCCTGACATTTATTATGTGTGGTTTTGTCACGTGCTATTAACCATGGTGCCACCATCCCGAGAGAGCATGAAGTACAGAAACAGGGAGATGAATCCCTTACTTTTCTCCTGGGATTGGCCCAAAGCTTAATTACTTTTTTGTACTTTGAAATCTTCACACACATCCCAGAATGGAAATACAAAGTGACACAAAACAAGCTACTGGATAGCAGGGAAATCTGAGCTTCCTTTTAAGTGATCTTCTAAAATACGCCAATTTTTTTCCAACTCCTTATTAGATATCTGTATACTGCACACTTTTTAACAAAATCTTATGCCTCTGACTCCTGAAACCAACTCTGTAGGATTGCAAAGACTGGTATTCATGGGAATTCTGTGATTATATTTTCCCCCTTTAAAGACAATATGATGCAATGGCTCTGATACATTTCTAGTCTTTTAAAATTAGGTCAGAGTTGAAAGATGGGAAAGGAAGCAGACAGCATGGTCAGAGAGTTCTGGTGCCATTTTTCTCAGGAGTGAGAGAAGAGCTAAGAAGCACCAAAGTTATGATTAATAAGTTCAGTTAAGCCCATGGGAGAACTGCAGACACCAAGTAGCTGAACTTTATTGCCCATCTTCCTGAGTTTCAACATTTCAAAGTGAGTTTGAGGAGGAGAATATAATACTAACTCATGGCAGAGTCTCTGTAGAGCCAGTGACAAGAATAAACTGTGTAAGTGTCAAAAAATGAGTCCTTTTAAACAAATATTTACTTTTTCTTGACTTTCATTGCCAAGAAATATTAGAGTGGAAGGTTAGGACAGAATGATTTTGTCTAGAAAATACAGGTAAGTGATTATATAGGATAAGTGAGAATCTCTTCTTGCATGTTTCAGCTATTAGGCTAAAAAAAAAAAAAAAAAAATTACCCCAAGCCCACATCAATAGCACACCCCAGAGGTGCAACAGCATTACGCATCACTGTCAGCACTGCCCAACTCCACAAAAATAACCCCAGGACTGCAACCCACGTCAGATCGTATTCCTTCCCTCTGTTTTTCACATCAACTGGTTGCTGGAGATGAAACCAAATTAAATATTTCCCTCTAGTCCTTTGTAAATTCTGAGAGACAATGCTGTGAAAATTAATTGAATTCTAAACAAACATGAAAGTTGGGAAATTTCTCCCAAAACCTCTTCAGCATCTCTCCTCTCTGAACTATTTTTAACATTCAAAGAAAATATTTGTTTGTATATTTTTCTTTGGGGAGGCAAGGGGAGGAAGGAGAGAAGATGAAAGGCCTGGGAGTGGGTGCTGTCTTTGAAATAAGCAGCCTCAAATACCCCTTTCATCTTCCAAGGGTTCCTTACTTACCACGCATAAAAGAAATCCCCAAACCAACCCCAATCTAAATTAAATGTTAAGGTGCATTCTACAATCACGGAACCTCTGCAGAGCTGGGTCCCAGGTCTCAAGCTCCTTGAAGGAAGGCACTGGGGTCCCCCACACTTCCAAAACTTGAAAAAGCACTTCCTCCTTCAGAAAGCCTGTGATCGTCAAAATTAAGTGTCCATCGGGAACAGGATGGCCCATGCCCTGAGATGGCTTCTTACCTCGGTTCAGGCTTGTTTCCCCAGATGCTACCTGTTACAGCATACCGATTCCAAGTCTGTCATGTTAGCCTCTACCCACAACTGCTGCGCCTACTCTTCATCAGCCCTCCAGAAGGGTCCCTCACTATTACCAGGCCGCTGGACTAGAACTAAATTCAAACTTGGGAGTGCTCCTGTACAGCGGGATCACATGAGATGCTTGGGTCTGCTATCATACCAACCCTCTACTTGGTTTGACACACACTGGAGAAAATCCCATTCGTTACATTATAGCTTGAAAATTAGTTTCAAGAGATGCCCGTGCTTTGGTCATTATGCTTTCACGGAGGAAATGAAATTCACGACTTAAGAGTCAATGAAAAAAATCATCCTACACTGGAACAAAGCCCTAGATGCGGGCTTCCAATGAGGTCTGAGAAAGAAACAAATAAAGAAGAGGCACGTCTACAGGAAAACCCATCATCACACATGAGAGTGCCAAGCAGTCCTTGCTCAGGAAGGGAGGCAGGCTATCCCCACAACTCCTGAAAGCCCAAGGCCTTGGGAGAAGGCCTCCCCTCTGAGAAGTGATGGCTTCCCAAGAACAACAATGGCCCTGACAGTTATTCAGCTCCACCATTAATTTTCCATAAAGAGCAGTTTTCTCGATGAGCGCTTGTGTCAGGCAGGGCCTGATGCTTCAGAAACCTGTAATTATTCTTGGCTCCCCACCCCCCACAGCCTCTGCACCTGTGTCAGTTCAAGGCACCAGCTGGTCATGTCTTGCCTCCTGCCTCTTAAGGGGGTGGGGTGGGGGTGGGGGTACGAGAGCCTTCATTGAAAACCCAAACTCACATTACTTGTCTCTTCTTCCAAAATGCAAAAACAAAACAAAAAATTTAAACTCACCAGTCTCATCCCTTCCCCCAACGGGTCTTGCCAAAGGAAACAAATAAACATTAATTGGCTAGAGAGCCTTCATTCAAACCAAAATTACTGAAAAACACAGTAACAGGGAAAGGTCTGACAAGGGGTTATTAATCCTGTTTTACAACCCACTTTTACTCAACCCCCGCCTGCTCCCGTTAACTTTGCACACACATGCACACACCCTCCCCAAACTCCAGGGGCCCCTTTGCACTGAGTGGCCAAGATGGGAACATGCCGAACCCATTACATCATCTCCCCTGCCTCTCCCAAATCACTCGCACAGGCTGACTCAGGCTACTGGGAAGTTTTTTTTTAAAGCAAAACTCATTTCATTGACTCCCTTCTGGAACATTGCTATATCCTTCTCAGTTGGATTAATTAAATATACTTTTCCCCTAACCCCCCATAAAAATACATACATGACTGCTTCTTTTACCCCAAAGCACAGTTGCAAACATGTACAA